GAGCATCAACTCCCAATGGGAAGGGAATAAAGATGCTAACATCGAGCTTCTCTAGTATTGACGTCGTGGAGGCATGACGGACCTCCTGCTGCAAGATAAGAATTGAACCGTCCATCTCGTGTTACACACTTCGCAATCTCTCGAGCCACCAAGTTTGCTTTGATAGGTTCCAACTCAAATGAACAACTGTCAAAGCCCTCGTTTAACCTCTGAATGTGATCTATGAACACTTGATAACGAGGCCATTCAAGAGGTTTCAGTAATGCAGCAATCGTCGCTTGACAATCCGAGGCTATCACCACATCTCGGAAGTGCATATTTTGCAAACTCTGCAACGCCCATATAATGCATCAGAATTCCACATAATCCAATTCCTGGACTTGGTGAAAGCCTCGCGGGAATGTAATAAGATTTCTCCCATGTGATCTCTGATTATCCAAGCCCCGCCACAATGTAAGTGTTGATTTTTCCAATTCCCATGAACGTTACACTTCACTTTGTGTGGTAATGGTTTTTGCCATTTAAGGTCTCTGCTAGGACCAATCGGACAGATCCGACCATTCTCCTCCTCCTTATTGTGCACATCAAACCAGCATCTTGATTCAATCAGTGCATCATTCACCACGGACGTAAGCGTGTTCTGATTTCCAGCATACAATATCGAGTTCCGGTTCTTCCACGTGTTCCATAATATACAATTTTGACTTTTAGGTTTTGTTTTGTAGGTGTTTTCAAAACAGGTTTTTGGTTTACGTGATGCGTATAATTTGGTTCTTGAACAAGGTATATTTGGTTCTTGAACAAGGTATATTTGCTAATCGACGTATTTCCTTTCTTATGTTTCCTCTATTTTTTTGTCTAACAATTATTTTTGTTTGTCACGCCATCATCAACTTCATCATCTGTCTCTTCAAAACACGATAACAAATCTTCTGAAGATAGCAAATGCAAAATCATGTAAATGTCTCTTTCATTTCAATGCTGTAAATTTTTAATTTTTTCCTCATCTTAATTGTTCTTCCTTCTTTTTATATTTTAATAGTTTTAACAAAAACCGTAATAAATCATAGTTGCCAAAGAGATTATAGTTTTTATATGATTCATGACAATTTTTTTTTTTTTTTCAAAAATAATTTATAGCATGAAAAGAAATTAGTCAAACTGTAATTTTTTTTTTTCGTTTAATATAAGAAGAACTTCATAAGGTTAGGTTTTGTGTGCGTCAAATCCATCATATTTTAGAAGAAACATTAAGATTGGTATGTTTAAAAACAAAAAAGCATTAAAACTGGCATGGTTTTTTCTGGATTCACCTATCATTGCATTTGTTTAGTAGACTATCCATGTATCATTATGATTTTTTTAATAGATTGAATGGTTTTTGTTGCTATCGTTGCTGGAATCTAGAAATCTTAGACGCTTATCGTAGACAAAATATTTGATGGATATGCAATGATCAAACAATTGAGTGCAAAGAGTGACCAGCTATTCTAGATTCTCAAATATTTTTCTATTGAATTTTCATAATTAACAACATTCCCATTAATATTTTTTTGTATCATAGAGCAACATAGTTTAGTTGCAAATTTTACATTTAAATTCATATTTGATAACTAAACATTCGTCAGCAATAAATACTAATTTTATAATATATCTAAATAATAAACTATAATAAAAATTATATATTTAAACTGAATAAAATTTTGTGTACAAAAATATGTCGAGATTACTTTCTAAAGTCAAAAAAGAAACATTTGTTTTGGAAACAAACATTAGTAAGATAAAATCAAAAAATTTAAATTGCATAAATCTTAGTGCATAAGAATATACCAAATTATCTTTTAAATTCAAATATTTCTATTTTAGAAACAAACATTAATAAAAGTTCATTTACTTGATTCGTAAGATTTCAAATCAATAAGAATATCCAATTATTATTTCACAATTACTAGAATCATCA